GAAGTCACTGCTTCAGTTGGTCAGATATATGTCTTAACTGATTAAGATCACTAATTGGAAATTTGTAAATCCTACCTTGGACCCTTGGTAACCTACAAACATCCTTAAAGCGAACAGAAAGTGTGAGTCACTGTGAGGCCAAGTTCAAACTCCAGTTCAAGTGCCCTCTAACACACAGTGATGTCGATGAAGCCCAAAAGGGCACTTTCTCTGTCATAAATCTAACAAAATATTTCTATGAAGTGTTTTTTTCATCTCATTATGATCTGTTCTATGTGTTTTACAGAACTAAATGGAACATTTAAAATGTGTGGATCTTATCTAAACCCTAATGCAGAACTTTCTAGCTACTGGTAGTTGCTTATGTCGAGACTGATCACCTCAGGGCCACTAGGCAGGTCTGGAGTGCCGGGGGCCCTGGGCAGGTCTCCTGGGGGCCACACACGGCTTTGTCCTTTCTTCCGGCGGGCTGCGCAGATGGTATTTTCTTGTCTGTGCTGTGTGAGAGGAGGAGTGAGAAGCAGGGCTCGGGAGACTATTGCTCAGAAGGAGCAGTGCAGTGATGACAGTGTGATAAACCCAGTTTAGAGTCTGCTTCTGTTTCATGGGGTAGCCTGCGTGGTGGAAAGGATGCTGGCCTGGACATGAGCAGACCAGAATTCTCACTGGCAAGCTATGTGACCTTGTCCTCTCTGGACCTCATCTTTCCTGTGTGTGGGGAGATCTCTGAGGTCATCTCTCAGTTCTTGCCAGTCTTGCGCTTTGACCATCCATGCAAGTTTCTACATGATGAACACCGCGCTGGGTCCTCAGTGCCAAAGGACAGAAACAAGCAACAAGAACGTACTGACGTCCTGGGGTGGAGGTGGGGGGGGGTGGCCACTAGAGAAACAGAGGAGGAGGAGTCAGACCTGGCAGGGAGAAGGAGTCATGCAAGGACGGGAGCTGAAATGCCCTTGCTGTACCTTACATAGGTCAATAAACCGATGAAGACTGGGCGTGGAGTTTCGTGAGGGGAGAGTGGGATGTGAAGTTGGAGAGCTGGTTGGGGGTCACAGTGCTATGTGGGCAAGTTGGACTCGATCCTAAGGTTAGTAGATGTGTGTGAGCCAGGGAGTGCCATGCCAAATCCCATCTTGTCCTCTCCGGTCAATTTCTGTTTGGCCTTCTGAGTTTTGCTCCAACAGCGCCGTGGACGTCTTTCTCAGTTGAATTATTTCCTGGTGGGATTAGTTGTTTAGTGTCTTTCTCTCTAATGGACCTGGGAACTCCAAGGGTGGGAACCTCTTTTAACACTCTACCCAAGCAAAGAACTTGCACATAATAAATGCCTAATAAATATTTGTTAGCTAAAGGGAGAGAGGGCTCTTGCCCCATAGTTAAACCTCTTTGCTTTTAAACTTTTTTTGTTTTGTTACTCTCTATGGGAAATCTCTGCACCTTCTGCTCAACTCTGCTGTGAACCTAAATCTTCTTTAAAAAAAATCTATTTTAAAAATTCTAATTGTTCAGAATTAGATTAATGGTTCGTGATACATTGTCATCATTGGTCCTGTCTTCATTTATAGATCTTTATATAAAATTTACATATTAATATACAGAACATCAGTGAGACTTTGGCCTAGCTAAAAAACCCAGAGCATTACCCCTAAGTCTCATTTATCTGTGTACTTCCAATCTGATCTCCCATCTCTGGACCTGGGTACCCAGCATACTTAAATATTGATTATCATTAATTTGTGGGTTTATTATTTGTTTTTAGTATTATCACACATATTTGTATAACCAAACACTGTATTATACAATTTTTCCTTTTTAAACTTTATAAGAAGTATATCATATTTCTTCTTACACTTGTTTTCTTCATTTCACATCATACTTCTCACGTTCACCCATATTGTCACATGAAGCTGAAGGTCATCCATTTTCACTGCTTGGAACCTATTTCTTCTGTTTCCTGTCGGTGCACATTGGGGTTGTATCCAGGTTTTTGACAATTGTATGGTTTCTGCGAGTATTCCTAGATTCATATTTTGGTGTGTGTGCCTTCAATATTTCTAGGCAGGGTTTCTCAGCTTCGGTGCTAGTGACATTTTGGACCAACTGCTGCTTTGCTGTGGAGGGCTGTCTTTTGCCTTGTGGGACACAGCTTCCAAGTCAGCAGACTGTGCGCCTCTTGCTGTTCCGACATAAAAAGTGTGGCCTCCAGTTTGGGACTGTGTGTTGTAAAAAAGAAGACACCCGATGAGTTCAGAATAGGCCTATGTCCTAGAATAAGTCTTTATCATTCAAAACCAGCAAAATACCCCTAGAGGTATTTGAAAGTCAAGTGTCAAAGATCCCAGAATTCCTCTGCACAAATATAAACAAAGTTGTACTTTAAGAGAAAATTCAACTAGGGAAAAAGCAAAATGATCTGAACTAATTCTTTACTTTTAAATATTATCACATAAAATAACATCCTGTTTGACTAATTTCATCAGAGGATGAAACTAAGTAAAATCCAGCATAGAAAGTCCTGTACCCTTCAGAAGGATATTTCCTTCTCCACTCATCTGGGTTGTAGGACAAGGCCAGTGCTATGACCACAGGGCATCCTGGAAGTGGTCCCTCCCAGCCTGCCCTTGGTCCTGCCCCGCCACTCATGAGAGCAGAGCTATGATACATGCAAGCTATGGGAAGATTGTTGCAGGATCAGATGCTGAGCCTAAAGCGGAAACAGGTTGGGATGAAGCTCAGGATCGCTGCCTTCAAACATCTGTGGGACAACTACACGTGCAGGGAAGGGGATCAAAAAGACGAGCTTCCATAGGGGGAAGTTATAAAAGGGGAGTGTTACTGTCAAGGCTGTAGAATTGCTTTGCAGTACTGTGTCCCCTTCCTTAACCAACCAAGCAGAGTTCTGAGTAGCCACTGGTGGAGATGTTAGAGATTTTCTTAACAGGGCCTGAAAGACCGTGATGCTGATGATCGCTAACAGCTGAACCAAGCTGATTTGTTCACTGTGTGTCCCACTCTTTCAAAGCACTTTACATAGTAAGCACCATCTCCTGGGAGGTGGGCGCTGCTGGTACCTGATATGAGGTGAGGGAAGTGGGGCTCGGGGTTGCACCCTAGTAAGTGATGGAGCTGGAGTGCAGCCCAGCAGCCTGGCTCCAAGCCCCTCCTCTCCAGTGGACTTTGCTCCTGACTTTACCACCTGGGGAAGCAAGTAAAGTCAAGTCATTTTGGAGGGAGAGGCTCGGTGTTTTGTTTCAAAGAGGAGAGACCTGCTGGATGGCAGGTGGAGATCTGTGGGTTCTGAGTAGACCGAGAGTAATAACATTGGCAAATTCCAGATCAAGCTGAGGGAACATGGCCTCAGGCTGAAGGTTGTGGGCATAGTTTTTAACTGAACAGTACCTGATTACCATCGACAGTAGATTGGATAACTAAATTGTGGTATATTTATATAAGTGAATGCTATACAGCAATGAGAGTGAAATTCAAGTACATACAATGGTGTAGATGAATCTTACAATTGTAATATGAAACCAAAGAAGCTGGACACGGTATAATTCCTTTTAGATGGGGAAGAAAAACATGCAAAGCTAACCTATGCTCTTCGAAGTAGGGGCAGGAAGCAATCGGAAGGGAGGGTAAAGGGGTGCTCTTTCTGTGGATGAATCTGTTTTGTGAAGCTTCAGTGATTTGTGAACTTTTCCATGATCTTATACATCAGTAAAAAGAAAAATGACCACTGATGGTCAATGAGACAAAAAGTTAAAAATCTTGACAAGGTGAACGTGATAGATTCACAAGGACTGAAGGGAAGAGGGAGCTGGCGGGCATTCAGAACGTAGAGGATGGTCAGTATGAGGTTGCAGAAGAGATTTGGGTGTGTGGGGGCTTGTGGTCAGGGGGTAGGAAGTTTGGATGTAGGATTTCCAAGGTGGGCTAGTCCTGCATCATGGTGAGGAGGACTGATGTGTGAGGGGCTGATGTGGAAAAAGGTAAACATCACTGGAGTTCAAGTGTCTCTGTTGTTTTGTCAGGGCATTTAGAAGTGCACGTGGCCTTGGGTAGGTATCTCATGTGGACAGTGACATAGATCAGGTATTGGCAGGTTTCAGAGGCCAAAGGAGGATGATGCTTCAGTTATTAAAGTCTGTAATTGTTTCACCGCTAGGGCAAAGCCCAGGTTAAACTATCTTCAGCAAAAACGGGAATTTATCACCTTCCATTAGTAAAAGGCTAGAATGGAACCTTCAATTTTAAAACCTGGATCCAGGTTTTAAAATTGTCATGGGGACTGCTTCCCTGCCCTTCTTCAGCTCTGCCTTTCTTGGGTCGGTTTCACTCACGGGCAGCATTCCCCACCAGGCTCCAGACTCGGGATGGCCTTACAGCTGCAGCCTCTCCTGAAGGCACCAGGAGAAACCCCAGGGGTGGCATGGGTCGACTCCACCTAGACCATGAGTGCACCCTTGAAGTGGAGGTGGATCAGCCTCCCTTCCTTCCCCTGTGAATCACGTTCACTGAGAATGAAGAAGTGGCAGCAAAAACCTTGTATCCACTGTGGAGGTTAGTGCTGTATGGCCGGACCCTCAGTGGCTTCTAAACAGCAGCGGTGCAGTGAAGAGGTGAGGACCCGGCTTGCTGCAGAAGCTGGGCGTCACCCAGCATCCACTGCATGACTGTGTGTGGAGGAGGAAAACCACATGAGAGTCCTGCCCAGGGCCAGAAGCTGCTCGGAGTCCCAGCTGGGGGCAAGGCAGCGGCATGCAGCCAAACTGACAAAGAAATTTGGCCTGTGCCGGGTTGTTGTAGCTGCACCCCACATTTAAATTTCCCCATCTCAGAACTGTCTTCTTCCTTTCTCCTAACAGATTGGATGTGCTCTTTTCATTTCAGCCAGCTGGATTTCTTTTTTTGCTCCATCTTCCTGTTTGTCTGTAATGCTTATCTTGCTTCTCCATCTTGTCTTTGTGTGCATTTCTCTTTTCTTGGCCTTGTCTCAGGGATGAGGAGGAGGAGGTGGAGGAGGAAGAGGAGCAGCCAGTCACGGAGCCCAATTCAGAGGAAGAGAGAGAGGACGATGCCCCCTGTCAGGGCAAGGACAGGTACTGAGGGCTGGACCCACCCAGGCCTCCACTAAAAGCCAAAGGCTCCTTCCTAATGAATAGTTTGCAGCCACCTCTCAGCAGTCTCCTCCCTTCCTCACTGGCTCCCACTGGCACACCTTTACGGACCCTATACACATGGCCACAGAATTACTAATGCGTAGGAATCACTGAGCACGTTTTCATTAAAGAACTTGATTTTTTACTCAAACGCTGCCTTTCTAACCATGCTTTCTGGAAAACTCACCCAGTGGGTTTTCTTTGCACCGTTCCCTCCCTCACTAAGTACTTTGGTTCCTTCCGACGGACAGAAAATTTTAACCATTTCAGCCCTTCAGTGAGAGTGATTATGCGTGTTTCCTTCTTCCTACTAATTTTACCTGTGCAATATCAGCTAAACTGTGTGGGTAACTACTGTGTGAATGATGCATGTTTGTTTGTTTTTTATTCACATGGGCAAGAATACTTCTTACCCACTACAGTGTAGAAAAATTCCCCAGTATTTATTTTTATGCCCAGAACAACTAACATAGCTCCACGGCCCTTTGGAGAGTTCGCTGCTCTCTGCCCCTCTCCGAGGGGCACCCTTTTTGCCTTCAGACAGTGGGACAGACCCAGGCCCCTCGCAGACGGCTTTAAATTTCGTGGGTGTTTTCCCCAGATGATGTCTATATGAAGAGTAAAAACTGATCGTGGCTAGTTTGTGATTATTTCTGAATATGATTTTCTGATATTCAAATATAACTCTAAATTGGTTTCCTTGACTTGATTGCACATTGACACTTTTACTGTTAGTTTTTCCCACAAATAAGTAACATCAAAAGACTCTTGGAAGAATTAGGGTAAAAATCTTTCTTACCAAGCTCAAAGTCAATGTGATTCTTTGCTGCTGTGGCCTCATTCTCCAGGTCACCAGCACAAGTCAAAGCCCTCAAATAGGCTCATTTGACACACCGAGACGCCCACCACTCCCAGGGGTCAGGGATCCTCTCTGAACTGATAAACTAGTGATTGCTTCCCAGCTTGGGAAGTCACTGGGAAGAAGCCAGCAGGTGCAGAGGGTGGAAGGGAATGGCGAGGTGACAGAGAGCGAGCCATACATTTCAGAATGAGAGGGCGAGAAGGGTCAGCATTCACTAGGCTCCTTGCCCATCCTGAGAGCCCCGCTTGGGATAGTGACTTCTTAGTCAGGGGTCTCTGGGGAGGGCGAAAGTTTAATTGACAGTCCCACTTGAAGTAGAAAACTTGCCACAGGAAATTATGGAGACCCTCAATGAATATACGGGCATGGCTCCATATGTGCTGAAATGTTCACGTTCTGCCCCCCACTGCTCCCCCATACACACAGGCCCTTCAACCCTCAATGACTCACATAGTTCAGCACCTGTGGACCAGACAGAAGAATCCAGCCAGAATGGGCAGCTTTCAAAGGCATCCCTACTGACATTGTGCCACTTTTGCACACAGGTAGATGGTGGTTGTCCTGCTCTCTGCAGTGTTTTTGACTACAGTGCTGGAGGGTGTTCTTGATCAGAGACTATGTCAGGTTTCTCAGTTTTAGGAAATGAAGGTGTGCATTCTCAACAGCAGGGCTCGATCTTGACAGTACCTGTGGTACCCATTAACATCGATCTGGACATGATTGGTTCCCTGGTGTACACCCATTTGACTTTCAAGTGGTGGGAAAGATTCTGCTTACTTCGTGGGTTTGGTGTCTTCTGTCCCTGCACTCCTGCTGGCTGCTTCCTTGTGTGCCCCCACCATGCAGACCCTCCACATGCACTTGCTGTGTGTGCTCACCACGTGTGTTCACCATGTGTGCCAGGCCTGCGCCGAGCACATCAGTGTGGTCTCATCTCTCACCAGGCCGGGAAAGTGTGTGTCCCTTCCCTTATATGTAGGTGGAGCTTGGAATTTGAGGTAGGAGAGAAAACAGCTCACATCCCCTCCCCAAATGGGCATGGCTGGGAGGCGGGTTCTCTGGGAGAGGGGCCTTGGTTTTGGAAAATCCAGTTTTACATACATTCTCAGGTTATAAAGGTATGCATCAAAGTATCTAAATGGTCGGAATCCAGTCCTCTGAGGGTGGTGTGTTTTTATAACCCTCACTGTGGCAGCAGGAGGCTGGCCTGCAGGAGGCATCCAGGGCCCAAAGGTAGAGGAGGCCCTGGGGAAGTGTGAAAAGGGCCAGATGTGTTCTCCTTAGGCTGGCCCCTCCTGCCTGGCTCTTCGAATTCCTTGCTGGCATCTCTTTTCATTTTCTCTTATCAAAGATGATGGCGGGGGTAGGATTGAGTGTAGGAGGTAGGGGTGGGTGGGCTGGGGCATAGCAATGGGGGTGAAATGGGGACAACTGTAGCTAAACAACAATAAAAAAAGAAAGAAAGGACTGAAGCAGTGAGTATAGGGCTGTGGGATGTCATTTCCTCAAGGCTGGACTTTTTAGGAAGAAGATAGATATTCTGTTTGACTTAGACAAGGAAGTGAAGTTCAAATTGTGGAGCTTCCAGTGCCCACACAGCCAGTGGGGAGAAACTCAGGGGGCTGAAGGGCAGGTGCAGAACACCCTTTGGGTTTCCATTAAATCCCCTCCCAAAGGCCTTGGTATGCCCATAGGCCATGTGGGCCTTAGCTCCCAGATGGGCAAGCCCAGAGCACCAGACTATTGGGCAAGCCAAGCTTCTGGCGATGGGCTTTTATGCTGCAGGTCAGGAAGCACAGCTGGATTCCGAACTACGTGGCCATAACAGTAGTGGGTTTTACATGTTTTTTCTTCTTTCCTAACCTTTGCTCCCTCTCTCCTAAATCTCTTTTCTTCCCCTCCTTCCCTTCCCTTGCCTTCCCTTCCACTCGTCCTCCTGCTGAGCCAGCAGCGAGGCCAGCCCTGCCTCAGAGCAGAACCCCACTGGACAGGGGAGTCCAGCCCTCCTCTCTGCCTCCAGTGCCGCCTCGCAGGGGAAGCAGCTTCCAGCCAGCACTGCAGGGGGGAGCCCCTGGGGCAGCGGGTCCCCCAGACCCGCCCTGCTGCCCCACCCCTCCCCTGCCTCGGCAGCTCGGACCTCCTCCACCACACCCAGCCGCCGGAAGGCATCACCGACCATAGAAAAGCTGCCCTATGTGCCCCACAGCCCCTTCCACCTCTTCTCCTATGACTTTGAGGATTCGCCCTTATCCACCAAGGAGAAGGAAGCCGAGGCCCAGAAGGAAAACAGGTAGATCCAGCCCACAGGGAGGCCTGCGTGAGGTTAACCGGGGGAAAGCAGCACAGCCTGTTTGCTGCACCGCGCATCTCGTCTTCTGCTGTGTGTGTGGATTCCAGGGAGAGCAGGGTCCAGTCGTGGCTTCAACTAACTCCCTGACCACTAACCAAATATTTACCAGGAGTTAGGCAAGATGCACAAGGAAGTTGTCATCTGCTCAAATTAAGGGGCTCTTTGGTCATAATACAATTACTAAAAATGGATTTTAAGTGTACGGTTTTAAAAATCTGCATGGTCTGACATAATTTATATGTCTCGCACCCATCTGTCTGGCACAGGGTCTTTTCTGACCTGCAGAACTAAGCAGAGTGCTTAGCGGCCTTTCCCTGCCACATTTTGAGGGGGGTGTTCCTTTAACAGTTGCTCCGATTCCCTCCATCTGAGCGCACTTTCTGCCTCCGAGCCTTACAACTTCCGGTCTTTCTCTTCTAATAGGTGGGTGTCTTCACTTTCTTTCCCTTGTCTGTCTATAGCTTCCCGTCTTTATTCTAATGTGTGGATTTTTCCTTCAAAGATTGCTCAGAGCTTCCCACAAGATGGCAAACAATGGCAGTTTGAATCACTTCATGGACATGAATACAATGACATTATTTCCAGTGTGAACACTTCAATCATTCTGATACAAATTGGGGAGGAGGGCGGGGGAAGGAGATGTGTAAATCAACACTGCACAGGGAATTCTCAGCAGTGCTTGACTGTTGCCTGGATTAGAAACTTCTGCAGAGCCAGGAGTGGGGAACAGAGGGGTGTCTATTTTGAGCAATCAGTTATCCAAAATCAATAATTGTTACACTGATGGCCACTCCCATCTTAGAGGAAAAATAATCGCTAACATTTATGGAGCATGTATTAAGAGCTAGGCCCTTGTACTGTCCATGAAATTAGTGCTTTAAAGTATCATTTAACCCTCGGTAAGTAGGTTCTATTACTCACCCTTATTTACAGAAGAGAAAACTGAGGCAAAGCGAGGGTAGGTAAGTGGGGAGTGAGTTCCACACAGGCAGCCTGCTCCAAAGGCCAGTCCTAACCTACACCTCATGTAGGCCTCTCTCTCTGAGGCCGTCCGTCAGCCTATGTCTTGCTTGGATGCATGTACACAGTGAGTCCTGATCCCAGGCCTTGACCCTGGCTGCTCCCTGCCAGGAGTTCCTGGTCAGTAAGACTTCCTGGGGGACCCTCAGCCTGGGTGCCCAGCCCGATGGTATACCTCATTTTGAGTGAAGCCTTCCAGGACCAGGGCCTGGGGGTCAGCTCTTTCACACCACAAACCGCCCAGTCCAGTGGGCGGCAGACTAGAAGGCGGTAAATAGAAGAATGAATTTAGAACTGTGGTCATCAACTGTTTTCGTTTACCTTCAACCTAAAAGAAGTTTGAAACTTCCCTCAAAATTACAAGTAGCCTGTCTAGGGGTGTTTTTTCTTTTCCTTCCTTTCTTTCTTTCTTTTTTTTTTTTCCATAAGCTTACATAGTTGTAAAGGGTGTAATTTGTCTATTGTATATGTGCTCTAAATTTATTTTTGTCAAAACTGTGGGGCTTTGGATTTAACTGATTAAATCACGGGAAACACTTCCATATGCCTAATGGGACTGTCAGAAAATGTCTGACTTCACGTTTCAGTTCAAATGAGCCACTACACTCCCTGTGACAACCGTCTCCCTCTGGGGTCTGACCGACGGGCAGGTGGGCGAGTAGGCAGAGACGGTGCCTGAGACCCGACTCTGAGTTCGTCTCTGGGTGAACAAAGCACCGCGTTCTCCCTCCTCAGTATTTCTTAAGGAATTTGCTCCGAAGTGATGCTTTCCTATATCATTCCTTTGCCTAGCACCCTAGAGACTGTACAGCTCTAAGTGGTGCCCCACACAGATTTAGCCTGGGTAAAAATGTTCATTTTTCCCCCCAAAAGTGGAAGGCAGTTGTGGAAGGGAAAGCAGGAAAGGAGAATTGGGAGAACCTAGGATGGCCATGGGCAGATCCATTTTAAGAAAGCCGGTACGAACTTGAGGATCTGAAAATTCACGTCCTCCTGTTTCCAGAATGGCCTTGTGTACCTCCCTGAGCCTGTGAGCTGCAAGCTCTCTGCCAGTCTCTTCCAGATTTGAAGTTCTGGGATTGCTGTGGTCTTTCCCACAATTTCTGTGGATCACCTCCAACCTGGCTCCCATGCCCTCTAAGAACAGTCTCTATGTGCAAGTTAAGAGCTGTCCACTTCACTGGAACAAAACTATCTCAATGACCTCATCTTCCCCAGCAGGGTGGTGGTAGCTCATGAGAGCAATCCAGGACTTTCTGGTGATGGTCTTACAGCCTCCAATGGGGCTTTCGTGGGACCTGGGTTCCTCAAACTTGGTCTCCAGGTTTCACTATTTATAGCCCTTGGGGGATGGGAGCAATAGAAACATATGGATTGCTGAATTAAATATATGTGGAAATTGGGAAATGCAGGCACGTGTTTGTGAATGAGGATTGGCTTAGATTTAACAGAGAAAAGTTTACAATTTTTAAATATTTGACAGGAATTTGAATACTGTCTAAATATTGTTTGTTCCCATTAATTTTCTGATGGTCACTCGCTGTGGTTTTTGTGGGCCTGTCCAGCCACAGACTTGACTGATCAGTGGATAGCTACAATTAAATGGATTGTTCTAGAGACCAACCAGTTAGTCATTAACAACAACAACAACAACAACAACAACAATAATAAACAGCTGAATAGAGACTTGCATGATCCAGTATGTTTCTCTGAAACTGAGAAGCAAAACGACAAGAGTGTGTAGTATTTGAATTAATTGCTCAGCCACTGGAAAAGCCAAGGGAGGGGAAAAAAAGCACTGTGCTTGTCTTATTTTCATAGCATCATTTAAACACCATTTTGGTAGAGTACTCCTACTGCAACATCCCACCAGATGCGCACTTTTGGTCGGAAGGGAACTGATTCAACGGCATGGGATAACAAGACCAGAGTCCAGGCCGCTGTGACGCAGTGGGAAGCCTGAGGACCCGGCTCCTGCTGGCGGCCTCCTTGCCCTTCTCCCTCTTCTTTACCCCTGAGCTTTTCTTTATCCTCCTTACGTCTTCCTTCCTTTCTATGTTCTTCTCACCCTTTGCTTCCCTGCCTTCTCCATGGCCTGTGGTTTGGGCATCTCCTTGAAAAATGAAACCAACACTCAGAGAAACAGTTAACCAGTTGGATACGTAGAGTGTTGGGCTTTTCAAGAAAACAGAGAATGAACCAAGCCCCACGAAGGTGGCGTGGTCACAGAGAAGGACGATGGCATCACACTGTGTGGCCTGAGTCCCCGCCTGCTTGGCGCAGGGCCTGGTGCTGAGCACGGGCCTCATGTGTGATCCCGAACAAACAGAGAAACTGCCCGGCCCACGAGACTTAACACCACAGCTTAGACTTGGGGAAATGGAAATATCCTACTTCTCATTGTAATAATGTAATTTATTAGGAAAACTGACATTTTATCTCTGTTCCACCTTTTTAGAAATCAGTCTGTTTTGTATACTCTTTTCCTACACATAATGTTTCACTTTTAAGGATTTTTTTATACAGGTGTGATCAAACTTGGTATATATTATTACATCCTGATGTTTTAATTCAGCGCATATATATATATATATCCCGATGTTTTAATTCAGCATATATATGCTGAATTAAACATTGGGATATAATATAAACATTTTCTGTGTTATCATTTACAAAACTGGCAATGATTTCTAATGGTTGCATAATATTCCGTCCTTACATGTTAGCTGATTGGGTAGTTTACAGTTTTTCACTGTGACCTGAATAATGCTCCAGTGAGTATCTTCCTACATGACATGTTCTATATATAAATAACCAAAAAGTCATGATAACTTCCCCAAAGTAGACTTACTCTATCAAAGGATAGCTATATTTTGAGGTCACATTGCTTCCCAGAATGGTTAGTACCAATTTCTGTTGCAGGAGAATGGGCCGGAGCCACCATAGGCAGGAAGGTTTGGGGGCAGTTGTGTTGTAGTGACCCTTGAGGCCCCAGGTACCCAGACACAACAGCCCTGACTAGTGGAGGGGAAGGAGCTGGCCTGTCCTGGGGCTGAGCAGACCCAGAGGCACAGTTCCCCGAAGCTTGTTATTCATAATTCATCACCAGTGTCCACCTCTAGGCAGGGGCTCAAATAATGATTTGTTTTCTGGGAATATTCTGAGTGACCATGGCTCCATGGCTGAATAAAACTGCTAAAGGACATTTATTCTGCAAAACAAAGAAAACTCTAGAATTTTACAAATCTGGAAACTTGTCAGAGAAGCACATGATGAAAGCTATAATTTTGCTGGGGACACACTGAGTAAGCATGTGGGTACTTGCACCTCTGCACAGCAGGCTAATCCAGAAGGCCTGGGAACACTTCATTCTTGATCGCCAGCCACACCATAAGATTATATTTAATGAATTGTTCAGAAATTGATTCAGAAATATCTAGAGCAGAATTTTTAATAAGATGTTTCTTTAGCCAATCATCTGGCAGTTTCTACAAATCTTTGATGGATTTAATGCTAATTATGCCACCAGGAGAGGCAAGAAAAATCATGACTCAAATGAAAATAATTTGGATTCTAATTTATGTTAGCAAATAGCTTGACTACATTTTAAAAGACTGGAAATATGAGCATCTTATTTAAACCCTTTGTCATAAATCCTGCTGCTTAATGATTTGAGACTTTGGGAACCTTCTCTAAGGAGAAATAATCAAAACAGAGCAGTTATTGAATTTCTTTAAGTTAGCACAATCACTAATGATGTTAGCGTTTCCAGACCCATTTTTCTTGCAAAAATTAAGATAATTTGCGGGTACTTGTTTGCTGACTCGTACTCATTTCTGTCCTCCCCACTCAATCCTCTGCACTTTTTAGATACAACAACTTTGGCAACCACTCTTCTCACTCTTCGAGGCCCTCGTCTGGGTCCGCTGGGCCCACCACATCCGCGTCATCTGTCTCACCGCCCCAGGAGGCCAGGCCGGAAAGGTGGGTTTCATAAGAAGCATTCTGGTGGCTTCACGGTCCTCAAGTAAAGGGTATCCCTGTGATTACAGTACCTAAAGGAAAAGTATAGATGTAAGTGTGATCTGATGTATGTTCCATTACAGAACAAAGCCCAGAGGCAAGACTATTTTCTTTCTTTCACACTATTTAGTAAGTAAATATTTTATTAAAGGTATTTTATTATTGTCTCATCTTTCTACCCACTTTCAATAGAAAGTATAAAAATATTTTCCTCAAACATTTAAATGTGAATGTTTTGATTCACTCCTCAAAAAAGTGTTCTAGATCTAGCGTAAGCTCTGAAATTTTTCTTATACTCGAAGCTGCCTCCGAGTCCAAGAGAGGTGACTGTGCCCAAGAAGGCCAGTGACCCCGGCACTTGAGGGGAGAAGTGGATTCAGACTGGCTTGGCTGCTGCCAGGAGGGTGGGGGCAGGGGAAGCGGAGGAGGGAGTGAGGGGTCAGGTTTGTATGTGGATGTTAGATCAGTTTTCACCCATAAATGATTAATTCTATGTAAATCAGTAGGTAGCGGGCCCTTTAAGGTGTTGTGTAATTAATCCAAGACCTACCAGAAGAAAAAAGAATGACACGGGTCCATGGAAGAAATTTAACTTGGCAAGGGTGTTAGACCACCAGAAATTAACTTACTGTTACTCCTAGGAGTGAGTGATTGCCAAGGATGTGTTTACAAGAAGAAAAGGTAAGGCCTGTAATTTTAGAACAATTAAAAACAGCTACCCTTATATGGCAAGAGTGCTGAGTTAGAGAACCCTGGCTAGGGTTCCAACTCACTAGGAAGTTATTTCATCCCTGAGGGTAAAATGTCAATGATGCCAACCCTTACCTTAGAGGGTGGTTTTGATGAGCAGGTGAAGGGTGTGCTTGAAAGTGGGGCGTGAACCCCACCATGTGGGTCCAGTAGGAAGCGACAGTATATGACAATGAGTATAATATTCGGGAGCTCATAACTGATCAGCAATTAGACATAAGCACATCCCAGGGAGCATTTGCCTCAGATCCTGAATTAAAAACAAATCTGATCTGTGTTCCTCATGCTGATCCTCTCCTGTGAGTTGGAAAGTGTTTGGCCGAGTGCTGCTGGTGATGAGAGATTCGGTGAGGGTGTGCGGCAGGCAAGACCTCGCGGCCCAGGCAGAGGGCTGTCCAAAGCGGTCTGCCTGGCCACCCACCACTGTTAATTTCTAAGATGGTATATAAGGCCCATAGTGTCAAACTTGCAGGTTCCACTGCTCAGGGTGGCCCTGGCCTAGGCATATTCAGTCTCAGGTCTTGGTAATGAGGTAACAAGGTGATTACCCTGAAGACACCCTCTGTCCTTTACCCTAGGGCACCTCTTCTTGGGGTCAGTTGAGGTTGCCTGTGTTCTTGGAGACACCACTAATAAAGAAGATCCTTGTCATGTGGGATGGAGACTTTGGGGCTAAAGTGAGGAATATTAGGGTGTGACCAATAGTAACTACATCAGACATCTCACACCTGTGAGGCTGGCAGCTCCTTGGGCGTGGGAAGTAGGCTCCACCACTTGCTGTGTCCTCCCCAGCACCCAACTCTGGCCTCGGCAGAGCTGCAGTCAGCACGGGTTGGGGGACAGTTATTGGCTGGGGAACAGTTTGGAGGTCCCTGACGGTGAGAAGTTACAAGGATAGGAGGCCTGAGAGTTTCCGAAGTCCTGGGCTTAGGGGGAAGTTCCTCCCAGGTCCTAAAGGTGAAGCCCCAGCCTCCATCCTCTTCCCGACTCCTAGAAACCTAGGTCCGGGTTTAAGCTGGAAGGTCCAGGAGTACAGGTTCCTGAAGGACTCCCATCTGTGGCTCCTTCCCTTCTTGGTCTGGCTGAGTGTCTTCTGGGGGAGAAATTAAAGGAGGAGGAGTGGGGCTGGGCCCAGCAGCACTTGAAGTGTCCTGGGCAGGAGGTTGGTCTTCATCCCGAGAGCCCAGGGCTGTACGGGTTTTGAAGCAGCTGGTGATGTCCTCTACACACCAATGAATAGGACCTAGTGGGGTGAGACAGCAGGGCCAGGGCCGCCAGAAGCTGCCTCCGAGTCCAAGAGAGGTGACTGTGCCCAAGAAGGCCAGTGACCCTGGCACTTGAGGGGAGAAGTGGATTCGGACTGGCTTGGCTGTGCCAGGAGGGTGGGAGCAGGGGAAGCAGAGGAGGGAGTGAGCGGTCAGGTTTGTATGTGGATGTTAGAAGCAAGGAACTGAGACAGAAGGTACTGCAAGAAAAGGAAATTGAGGGTGGAGATGTTCATCTTGGGGCATGCAAGGTGTGAGGAGGAGTCTGTATGACCCCCCAGGGAATGTGGACTTAGTGGTCCTAGGCTTGAAGGAGGCACTGGAGGAAAACCCTCTGGGGGGCCCTGTGTGCTGAGACCTGGTCACCGGGGAACAGCAATGCCACCAGCCTCTTCCCAGCTGCCTGTTCCCTCTCATAGTGCACTTCTGCCACAGGAAGTTCATCCCCTTGGCCATCCCCTGTATCCGCTAGTGAGTAAAGTAGCTTCAAAGAAGCTATTGCTTTTTTTCCATTAGCATGTTTTTTCAACTCTCACGCCTGTGGGTTTGCAAAACCATATAATGAATCATGTGCAAGACTAGATGTGCAGTTTCAGTATGCAGACCAGGAAGCTGCCAGGCCTGGCTGCATCACCCCTTCGTGCTCACACCTTGCTAACTTATGTTTTGTGACTGTTCTAGAAAAGAAAAGAGGGGTTCTCACCTCCAAATCATATTTTTACTGTCTCCCAAGCATATTTTGCCAGGTGCATTTATGATACTATGTTTTTGTACAGTTTAATTTTTTTTCTTTTCATTTTTGACAACTGAAATCCTTGGATATCACCCATAACCTATTTCCACATTTGCAAGTGTTTTCTGCTCAATTAAGATACAAGATTATTTTTACTGAGGTATGTACTTTAGTAGAATATGTAGGATTTATTGTTGAAATGTTATACATATCTACATTTTATTGAAACCAAGAAGAAAATCTTTTTTTCCTTCGGAAAGACACGGAACTATTATGAACAATAGTTGCATTTTTGCAAGGAGAACCCGGATCCTCAGCCAGTGTCCCCCTGACTGCTGAACAGAGCGCCAGGGCCCCATGCAGTGCTTGGGAGCTGTAGAACCTTGTTCCCTCGGCTTGGAAACGAGACTCACTTCTCAGACGTTCTAGGCAAACCAGGCCAACGACAACACGCCTTTGGGTAGGTCGGCCACTTTGACGTTACTGCTGAGCATCGGTGTGAACTTAAAGTTTTCCAGACTTCCCCAAGCATGTCAGTGCATCGGATGTTAGTAACACTTGGAATGATAAACTGACCAAGAGAAGAAGAACTGAAGAAAGAATATACAAAATTAAGTCAAAACAGGGCAATTAAAAAGAATCCATCCCACATCTCCTATTACAGCTTCGTTTATCGTGTTCTCTTTTAGAAAACAGCGAGTGTGGCATTTGATGTTCATGACATTGGAACTTGACTTGTGCCAAAACAAAGCAGAAAAAAACAGAATTATTTGCAAAGGCCCTCAGGAATACAAGATGCAACTGTGTAATGAAAGCAGACTTTTAAAATGATTCAATTTTTAAAAATGTGCTCTTTGAGTGGAAAAGTCCTAAATATTTTCTCTTTAAAGGAAAACATAATTACAGGAATAGTTGCCCATTCATGCTCAAGTATTCAAGTGAAACAAATAGACAAGCAAACAATAATTACACCACACGAATCTGTGGCTCTGGGAAGCTGGGAGGGGCAGATGGCCTTCCCTTCCCATCCCTGCGGGGACATCTTCATCTTGTGGGCCTTTGCAGAAAGGCAGCTGCATGCTTGTTGGCTGTTGTGACAGCAGTTAGGGAGTGACTGTGAGGGGACAGTAGGTCTCTGCCTGCAGCTGAAGGTGCTTGGGGCAGTCAGTCTTTGTGGGGGCCTGCAGAGTACAATGGGAAGGAGGTCCGTCCCACACAGTGAGAGAGGACATGAGCAGGTGACCGTGCTGTGTGCTAAGTGGGAGCACACTGATGGAACCTCAGGCTTAGATATTAGGGGCCAGGTTTCCCTGGGGACATGCTGAGCTGAAATCTGAAGGATCAGTATGTGCCTTACGCAGTGATTCTGTTCTCTTCCACTTATACCAGTGCCACTGTTCACTGTCAGTGACAGTCACCTGTCTTATGGATTAGTGTCAAGAGCCCTTTAAAGCGTTTGGGAATTGTCTGCCTTGTCTAGTCATCTGAGTGGAGTTTTCCTTACTTCTTGGAAGACTGTGAGGCCAGATATAAGTAATGACACTTCCCCTTGGGAGTCATAAAGGATGAATAGAGGATGCAACTTTAAATTGTATTTTATTAATTTTTACATAGGCTTTACCTATACATAGTATAACATTTAAAAGGTGTGAAAGGGTAAAAGTGAAGCTCCCTTCTACCCATTATCCTTCCCAGAAGCAATTGGTCCTAGCAGTTTCTTATGTAAGCTTCCAGAAATATCTTACGTTCACAGAAGCATGTACAAAACTCAGGGCATCTAACCTGCAGCCCCTGGGCCACGTGCAGCTCAGGATGGCTATGAACGCGGCCCCACACAAAACCATAAATTTACTTAAAATGTGATGAGATTTTTTTTTATGATTTCATGTCACAATGCATTTAATATGTGGCCCAAGGCAACTCTTCTTCCCATGTGGCCCAGAGATGCCAAAAGTTTGGCACACCTGATGTACCTGGTTGTCATATCTTTGCAGAGACAGTAGCACTTCACAAGCTGTTCTGCAGCCTGCTCCTTCACTTAAAGTGTATATCTTGGTTCTTTCCATAGTAGCACTGCTAGCTGTTGCATTTTTTTAATAGCCACATTGCACCCTTTTCTCTGGGTACTACTTCTTACACCGAGTCCCACACTGATGGGCCCCAGTCTTCTGCTATTACAGAGGGTACCACAGTATGATTCTTGTCCGTGTGTC